CGGTCGTATCTTAAAAACTGTAACTCCTACAGTGAAGAGCTTTATATTGTGAGAATCACAAGACCCAGACCTACATTTTGATGCATAGTATGTCTCTGAAGTGTTAAAATTGAAGGCACAGTCACAGTTTAGAAATTGCACTTCAAATTTGAGCTTTGCAGAGTGAAGTTTCAATGAATGTCAATGGACGGCGTTGGTTGCAAACAAATGGTCATATTGTGAAAACTATCAGGACTACGGCTTAGCCGTTGACATGTTTAGTGGCAGCAGGGATAGCTGAACGTTTTGATATAAGATTTGTGTAGGTGGGCCTGAAAATAAGGTAGTGGTGGCAGTTTAGAAATCATGTCCTGATTTTTCAGCTTTTGGCAGCTCCCACTCTAGCTTTGCCATTCATTCCTATGGGACAAATTTCGCCACAAGAACAACGATATTCCGTGAACCATTCGGTGAAACATTCCACAAAGTAATAGCAATCCGATCGGGAACAATCTGCACGTTTTGGTAAATTTTTGTCTATGTAGTGTAAAAACTGTGGGAGGAGTTAGGGTGGCAAATTTTGCTATAATAAGAATAAGAATAATAAAAGCTACAATTTCTGGGGAAATTGTGTGAAGTGTTCTTGCCTCCACCAGTAGTGTACAACTGGAGTGTGCGGAGTAACTGTTATAAATTAGATAGCACATTTAATTGCAACGTTGTTGCACAGTTACATTAAACCATACATTTATAAAAGCATTAGCAGGTGTTCAAAAGGCCCTGTCTATGACATCACTTGCTGCTGCAGCTTGACACAGGTCAGAGTATTTTGGCAGTTGCCATCTTCAAACGGTCGTATCTTAAAAACTATAACTCCTACAGTGAAGAGCTTTATATTGTGAGAATCACAAGACCCAGACCTACATTTGATGCATAGTATGTCTCTGAAGTATTAAAATTGAAGGCACAGTCGCAGTTTAGAAATTGCACTTCAAATTTGAGCTTTGCAGAGTGAAGTTTCAATGAAAGTCAATGGACGGCATTGGTTGCAAACAAATGGTCATATTGTGAAAACTATCAGGACTACGGCTTAGCCGTTGACATGTTTAGTGGCAGCAGGGATAGCTGAACGTTTTGATATATGATTTGTGTAGGTGGGCCTGAAAATAAGGGAGTGGTGGCAGTTTAGAAATCATGTCCTGATTATTCAGCTTTTGCCACCTCCCACTCTAGCTTTGCCATTCATTCCTATGGGACAAATTTCGCCACAAGAACGACGATATTCCGTGAACCATTCGGCGAAACGTTCCACAAAGTAATAGCAATCCGATCGGGAACAATCTGCACGTTTTGGTGAATTTTTGTCTATGTAGTGTAAAAACTGTGGGAGGAGTTAGGGTGGCAAATTTTGCTATAATAATAATAAGAATAATAATAATAATATATATGTGAGATAACATTAAGTGGTCTTGCTATGCAAGAACACTTAATAATAATAATATATATATGTGAGATAACATTAAGTAATTAACATGCAGAACACTTAACTAGAAAAGTTACAATTTCTGGAAATTGTGTGATATTCTTACCTCACCTGTAGTCTACAACTGGAGTGAAGGTAACTGTTATCATTTACATAGCACATTTAATTACAGCGTTGTTGCACAGTTACATTAAACCATACATTTATAAAAGCATTAGCAGGTGTTCAAAGTGCCCTGTCTATGACATCACTTGCTGCTGCAGCTTGACACAGGTCAAGTATTTTGGTGGTTGCCATCTTCAAACGGTCGTATCTTAAAAACTATAAATCCTACAGTGAAGAGCTTTATATTGTGGGAATCACAAGACCCAGACCTACATTTTGATGCATAGTATGTCTCTGAAGTATTAAAAATGAAGGCACAGTCGCAGTTTAGATATTGCACTTCAAATTTGAGCTTTGCAGGGTGAAGTTTCAATGAATGTCAATGGACGGCGTTGGTTGCAAACAAATGGTCATATTGTGAAAACTATCAGGACTACGGCTTAACCGTTGACATGTTTAGTGGCAGCAGGGATAGCTGAACGTTTTGATATAAGATTTGTGTAGGTGGGCCTGAAAAAAAGGGAGTGGTGGCAGTTTAGAAATCATGTCCTGATTTTTCAGCTTTTGGCAGCTCCCACTCTAGCTTTGCCATTCATTCCTATGGGACAAATTTCGCCACAAGAACGACGATATTCAGTGAACCATTCGGCGAAACGTTCCACAAAGTAATAGCAATCCGATCGGGAACAATCTGCACGTTTTGGTAAATTTTTGTCTATGTAGTGTAAAAACTGTGGGAGGAGTTAGGGTGACAAATTTTGCTATAATAAGAATAATAATAACTAGAAAAGTTACAATTTCAGGAAATTGTGTGAAGTATTCTTGCATCACCTGTAGTCTACAACTGGAGTGAAGGAGTAACTGTTATCATTTACATAGCACATTTAATTTACAGCGTTGTTGCTGATTACATTAAACCATACATTTATAAAAACATTAGCAGGTGTTCAAAAGGCCCTGTCTATGACATCACTTACTGCTGCAGCTTGACACAGGTCAGAGTATTTTGGCGGTTGCCATCTTCAAACGGTCGTATCTTAAAAACTATAACTCCTACAGTGAAGAGATTTATATTGTGAGAATCACAAGACTCAGACCTACATTTTGATGCATAGTATGTCTCTGAAGTATTACAATTGAAGGCACAGTCGCAGTTTAGAAATTGCACTTCAAATTTGAGCTTTGCAGAGTGAAGTTTCAATGAAAGTCAATGGACGGCGTTGGTTGCAAACAAATGATTATATTGTGAAAACTATCAGGACTACGGCTTAGCCGTTGACATGTTTAGTGGTAGCAGGGATAGCTGAACGTTTTGATATAAGATTTGTGTAGGTGGGCCTGAAAATAAGGGAGCGGTGGCAGTTTAGAAATCATATCCTGATTTTTCAGCTTTTGCCAGCTCCCACTCTAACTTTGCCATTCATTCCTATGGGACAAATTTTGCCACAAGAATGACGATATTCCGTGAACCATTCGGCGAAACGTTCCACAAAGTAATAGCAATCCGATTGGGAACAATCTGCACGTTTTGGTAAATTTTTGTCTATGTAGTGTAAAAACTGTGGGAGGAGTTAGGGTGGCAAATTTTGCTATAATAATAAGAATAATAATAATAATAATATATATATATTGAGATAACATTAAGTGGTCTTGCTATGCAAGAACACTTAACTAGAAAAGCTACAATTCCTGGGGAAATTGTGTGAAGTGTTCTTGCCTCCACCAGTAGTCTAGCACATTTAATTGCAACGTTGTTGCACAGTTACATTAAACCATACATTTATAAAAACATTAGCAGGTGTTCAAAAGGCTGTCTATGACATCACTTGCTGCTGCAGCCTTGACAGGTCAGAGTATTTTGGTGGTTGCCATCTTCAAACGGTCATATTTTAAAAACTATAAATCCTACAGCGAAGAGCTTTATATTGTGAGAATCACAAGACCCAGACCTACATTTTGATGCATAGTATGTCTCTGAAGTATTAAAAATGAAGGCACAGTCGCAGTTTAGAAATTGCCCTTCAAGTTTGAGCTGGCTTGAGTAAAGTTTCAATGAATGTTAATGGAAGGCATGAGTTGCAAACAAATGGTCATATTGTGAAATCTATCAGGACTATGGCTTAGCCGTGGACATTTCTAGTGGCAGCAGGGATAGCTGAACATTTTGATATAAGATTTGTGTAGGTGGGCTTGAAAATGAGGGAGTGGTGGCAGTTTAGAAATCATGTCCTGATTTTTCAGCTTTTGCCAGCTCCCACTCTAGCTTTGCCATTCATTCCTATGGGACAAATTGCGCCACAAAAACGACGATATTCCGTGAACCATTCGGCGAAACGTTCCACAAAGTAATAGCAATCCGATCGGGAACAATCTACACGTTTTGGTAAATTTTGGTCTATGTAGTGTAAAAACTGTGGGAGGAGTTAGGGTGGCAAATTTTGCTATAATAATAATAATAATAACTAGAAAAGCTACAATTTCTGGTGAAATTGTGTGAAGTGTTCTTGCCTCCACCAGTAGTCTACAACTGGAGTGGGCGGAGTAACTGTTATCATTTATATAGCACATTTAATTGCAGCGTTGTTGCACAGTTACATTAAACCATACATTTATAAAAACATTAGCAGGTGTTCAAAAGGCCCTGTCTATGACATCACTTGCTGCTGCAGCTGACACAGGTCAGAGTATTTTGGCGGTTGCCATCTTCAAACGGTCGTATTTAAAAACTATAACTCCTACAGCGAAGAGCTTTATATTGTGAGAATCACAAGACCCAGACCTACATTTTGATGCATAGTATGTCTCTGAAGTATTAAAATTGAAGGCACAGTCGCAGTTTAGAAATTGCACTTCAAATTTGAGCTTTGCAGAGTGAAGTTTCAATGAAAGTCAATGGACGGCGTTAGTTGCAAACAAATGATTATATTGTGAAAACTATCAGGACTATGGCTTAGCCGTTGACATGTTTAGTGGCAGCAGGGATAGCTGAACGTTTTGATATAAGATTTGTGTAGGTGGGCCTGAAAATAAGGGAGTGGTGGCAGTTTAGAAATCATGTCCTGATTTTTCAGCTTTTGTCAGCTCCCACTCTAGCTTTGCCATTCATTCCTATGGGACAAATTGCGCCACAAGAACGACGATATTCCGTGAACCATTGCTATGCAAGAACACTTAATAATAATAATAATAATATATATGTGAGATAACATTAAGTGGTCTTGCTGTGCAAGAACACTTAAATATATATGTGAGATAACATTAAGTGGTCTTGCTATGCAAGAACACTTAATAAGAATAATAATATATATGTGAGATAACAATAAGTGGTCTTGCTATGCAAGAACACTTAATAATATATATGTGAGATAACAATATATATGTGAGATAACAATAAGTGGTCTTGCTATGCAAGAACACTTAAATAAGAAAAGCTACAATTTCTGGGGAAAATGTGTGAGGTGTTCTTGCCTCCACCAGTAGTCTACAACTGGAGTGGGCAGAGTAACTGGTTGGAGTGGCTGGAGTAACTGTGGAAAGGTTGGACTGGGCAGAGTAACTGTCTGGAGTGTTTGGACTGAGTAAAGATAGTAAACATTACACTAACCAATTGATTGATCAAATTTAAAAAGTGCACATGGCAAGCGTGATACAGAGAAAAATGCATTTCAACTTTTATTTATTTAAATAGCACATTTAATTGTAACGTTGTTGCCCAAAGTGCTTCACAGTTACATTAAAACATACATTTATAAAAACATTAGCAGCCTAGCAGATGAAGGTGTGACCACATGAATTTGGGGGGGTCTCAGCATCTTGACGTAGAATGGAGGTGATGGTATCTGTTTGATGATAATCAGTGCTTACAACCACTGTTTCCTGGCAACACTCATGCCCTGTTTATGAAGGCTCTAAGCGTGTTCACAACCACTGCTCAAAACACAATACACGGGATCATGATAGCTGTAATAACTGTGCAGTACTCCTGACTGGAGACAGTGCTGCACCCTGGAGATGTAAATGTGATCCAACAGTGTGTTTCCTTCTGTGGTGGCTGCCCAGACCAGTTGGGTATATCCTCTTGAGTGAAGAAGGTCAGATATTGGCTTCTTTGCTCTGCACAGAAAATCTTCATTGAAATCTCCACAAAGGATTATAGGTTGGCAATCCATTCTTTCCAAAGATTCTAAGAGGCCCAGCAGGTTAGTAAGGAATTGGCCAATACTGTAATCAGGTGGCCTGTAAACAACGGCAATCAAAGCTTGGATAGGGGACTCCAGCTTGACAACCAAGAACTCCAAGTCAGTCACATTGTGATGATACTGCTTTTCAAAGGCCTTGAACTGGTTTCTGACATACAAGGCTACACCTCCGCCACCTTTACTTGCAATGTCAGGACGGTTCGTGTACGAGAGGTGTCTGTTGCGTTTGAACAGGTTGTAGCCCTCCAGCTGGAGACCTTCAGCAACAGAAGAGCCTGAGAGATGTGTTTCAGTGAAACATAAAACATCTCCAAGTGTCAACTCGTGATGGGATTTAATATCTTCAATGTGAGTTGGTAATCCTTCCGTGTTGTGATGGATAATTGTTAATGTTTGCTGTTTGCCTGTTGTCCGTAAAAACTGTAAGAGGGGCATAACACTTTCCAGTGATGCATTTTTCATTGAGTCCAGGGAGGCTGTGATTTCAGGATCAGCAAAGATCTTCTTCTCATCAAAGTCGGTTATGTGCAGTCCTTGTAGTGTAGTCGTTCTACTCAGAGCAACATAGGCCATTCCCGGTTGGAAGACCCGTTTCAATGAGACCACTGCCGACTGTATCGACATCCCCTGACACTTATTAATCGTGCATGCAAAGGCCAACTTCAGGGGGAACTGCCTGCGAACAACTCCTTTCTGTCTCAGGTTTTCCTCTACCCTTTCTATGTACACCAAGTGGTCAGCATCACAAGATGACTTGTTACGGTATCTCTGTCCTGCATTTGGATTGTCCAGCACAAGCCCAAGCTTGTTTACCGTAGTAGCACCATTCTCAGTCTGGATGATTATTCTTGCAATCTTGCCAAATGTCCCATTAACAAGCCCGTCTTCAACATCAATGTTTCTTGTGATCATGATACGGGCACCTTCAGCTGCTTGCAGGCTTCGATCTTGTGCGTTTTTGAATCATTCCCATTTCATTCAAAAGGCTGACACGCTCGCAGTCTTCCTTTTGCTTGCCATCCTCCTTCTGCTTGCCATAGACAACCCTGTAATGGGATGCAAAGTCTGCCAGACACATGGACTCAAACTCAGGTGTTTCGGGTCTGGCTCTGTATTTGTCGACAAAACTCGTCATCCACACATTAAGAGAATCGGCTGGTTTGTTCTGCAACGCACTGAGCGGGAGACTCATTTTCAGTGCGTTGTCACCAGTTGGCAGGAAAACAACCTCACGTGAGCAAGACTTCATTTTCAGGCTGCACGTACGGGCCACAGACTCCTGGGCACTGACCTCTCTGTGTTTTGAATAAGCCTGAAGAACTTCTTTCATTTCTTCTCGTTCTGTCTCTGTTTCTGGGCTCATTTCTTTGACTATTGTTTTGAGATAGTCACTCAGCTCGCGTTCTGGCTTGGATATGTAGGACAACATGTACATGATGCAACCATACTCATCAAGAATGTACTGGATGTCCATGTTGGCGTTCCAGGCTGTCAGCAAATGTGGATTGTAGTTGTTCACCCAGCAGTCCTTGACATCACGCTTCATTACAATCACGCTTGAGGAGGTCAATGCCTCAATGTAAGAGTTGTACTGATTCAAAGTCATATCACACTGTGCCAGTAGCTGTGACATGTCAAGCTGCACTTTCGGGTTATTAAGCAAATCCCAGACTGGTTTCAGTTTGTTTTTGGCTGCTTGTGGTTCCATTGCACAATCTCCTTGTTCTTCTGGAATCGGGTAAGTTATCCTCGTTTGTCTAATAGGTGGCTTTGGAAATCCAAATCTGCATACTCTGTTACCTTTTTTGCACGATTTTGAATGTGATCTGCTGTGCATTTGAAGTTCTGTTACTAATCTGTGAAGTAAGGCCTGTTTGGCTTCATCAGGCAGCTGGCATGAGATGTTATGATCTATAAAGGCACACACCTGGTCATCACTGTCTTGTCCAAATATAGGAGCTCCTGCTACCCAACAGAGACAATGTATATGAGGGCTCCCTCTCGCCTGAAATTCAACCCGGTAAAGGTAATCGATAACTTCACCGATTGGCTGTGCAGGACCCAACAGCACCTCTCGCATCAGAGCATCAACCCGTTTGTCAAACATGCGCATGGTGGTCACTGGGTTGCCTCGAAGAATGTCACACTTTTCAGCCCAGTCTAGCTCTGCAAAATCCACCTTTTGACCTTGTTGCGCCTTTATTGCCGTTATTACCTCTGGCCATCTGAATTCTGCAGCAGAGAAGGTAAGAAAAAATGTTGGCTTACCCAATTGTCTGACCATGGCTAGCAAATTCTTCAGATTTTTATCCCAATACGCTGGACTCCCTCTCAGTGGTTGCATGAACCTTGTGGCATCTCGGTTTCGCACCAACCTCTCAACCTCACGCTTGTCCTGTAGCAGCTTGTTGGATATTTTCTGTCCATCCCTGGTATTGGGTTTTCCTTTCCTTAACTGGATGGACATGCTGCTTTTGGCCATGTGTGTTTCTGTGACAAACTGCGCAAAGAAGAGGTAGCTTGTGTCTCTTGCAAAACGAGTATCAACACAAAAAAGCCTTGCATTGAAATACATGCTCGGGGACAGTTTGACTTGTCTTGCCTGGTCCAATGTATTCTGTCCAGTAGGAAACTGAACAGGGAAAGCCATTGCCTCAAGCCTAGGAACTTTAAAGAAGCTGACAGGTGTGTTTCCTTGTGCAGGTGCAATGCTGAATATTCCATCACCGTGTGTCAGTGCTTCCTCTCCAAGGTCAGATGGCTGCAAACAACTGTCTAGGCCAATTCCAGGTCTTAGTGAATCCTTCTCATCCTCTGCATTGGGAGGTTGTTGGTCATGGCCTTCCTGTTGCTCAGAAGCAGCCAGTAAACATGCAGACTGTACCTCTGATGGATCACAATTTTCGATGCGTTCAAGTATCTCCATCATTTCAGTTTCATCACAACTGTCAGGTTCCATCCCATCATCATCATTATCAGCATCATCAGCAGTGATTGTCTCATCCACTCTGATTGAAATGTCACTGTAGTCGGGGTGTGTGTCAATGAGTTTTGACAGACCTGCTACTACATTTCTCATGTTGACATTGTGAAACAGCTGGTGGCCTTTGTAAGTCAGACGTCTTTTCAGCTTCACTCTGTGTAACTGGGATGTGCTGTGCGATCTTGGTAGAGTATTGACCGTGGTTTCCACCTCGGATGGCACACACACTACAGCGCCATGTATAGCTGCCTGTCGACCTTTGGGGAGTGTGATGATCTTGGCAAATGGCAGTATTTTGGCCAAAAGTTGTCTTTCTAGCACATTCAAATCGCAAAGCTCTGGGGGAATGGGCGCCAGCTCCATGTTGTTAGCCACAGCGATGGATGATATGTGTCCTGCTTTTAAATGTGAATCACAGTTGTGACAAATCCATTCTTTGGTCCTTTCATCTGGTACGGTGCATTGTTCAGGGCCTTGACAGTGATTGTTGCACACATGGACATATTTCCCTGTCAAACAGGCAGCAACAATGTGTAGATTCTTCTTGTAATTGCTGTGAATGCAATGTTTCACTTGGTTAGGGAAAAGGGTGCGATGACACATCGTGCACACAAAAGTTGGCCCAGCTTTAATGCATTCATGGAAAGTGGATATAGCTGTCTGCATTAGGCTGTTTTCCACTGGTTGACTGCATTCCCGCATGACATGAGTCCATCGTCTATATTTCATTCTTATTTTGAAGGCACATTGCATCTTATGGGTTATGCGAAATTCTGCCTGAGTGTGACGCTTCATTTTCATGTAACTCATGCAATGTTGCAAGTGACGTTTTCTGAAAGCAGGATCATTATGATATTTTCTGGTGATGTATTGCTTCTGCTTCAAGTTGAAATCGGCATTTGTCGCATATTTTCTGGTGATGTATTGCTTCTGCTTCAATGTAAAATCGTCATTTGTCGCATATTTTCTGGTGATGTATTGCTTCTGCTTCAATTTGAAATCATCATTTGTCGCATATTTTCTGGTGATGTATTGCTTCTGCTTCAATTTGAAATCGTCATTTGTCGCATATTTTCTGGTGATGTATTGCTTCTGCTTCATTTTGAAATCGTCATTTGTCGCATATTTTCTGGTGATGTATTGCTTCTGCTTTAACTTGAAACCTGCATCTGTTGCATATTTTCTGGTGATGTATTGCTTCTTCTTCAAGTTGAAATCGCATTTGTTGCATATTTGTCTGGTGATGTATTGCTTCTGCTTCAATTTGAAATCATTTGTTGCATATTGCTGGTATGTATTGCTTCTTCTTCAATTTGAAATCGCATTTGTTGCATATTTCTGGTGATGTATTGCTTCTGCTTCAATTTGAAATCGTCATTTGTTGCATATTTTCTGGTGATGTATTGCTTCTGCTTTAAATTGAAGCCTGCATCTGTTGCATATTTTCTGGTGATGTATTGCTTCTTCTTCAAGTTAAAATTGGCATCTGTCGCATATTTGCTGGTTGTGTATTGCTTCTGCTTCAAGTTGAAATTGGCATCTGTCGCATATTTGCGAATGATATATTGCTTCTGCTTCCACTTGAAATCAGCATCTGCTCTGTATCGGCTAGTGATGTATGTCCTCCTCTTATTGATGACAGACATCTTTGTAGCCTTGAAACCACGCCTTCTTTCATTTCTGTGTCTTGTCTTCAGTTTTTGTTGTTGCTGTGCATTTAATTTGGACAATGCCTTACTGTCCTTCCATATGCCCTGTGAGGATTTTGCATCAAGTGACCGTGGAGAATGCTTGCTGGCTGGGAATCCAGTGTGTGTTGCATCTTTGGTCATCTGTTTCACTTTGTTCTCCACATGCTTTCCATTATGTGGTTTGTCAGATTGCACCGGTGGGGACATCAAACCATCTGACAGACGTCTTGCACACTGAAATGAGACTGGCATGAAGTCATACTGCAGTCCATCAATAGGGCCTCTGTTGTCTGTAAGGAGCAATTCATACAACTTATAAATCCTTGCCCCCATATCACTCAAATGTGTAAAGGTGATCATAACAGCTTTTCCTTTTCCAGTGGCAGGAAGTCCATCCTTATTTCGACTATGAGAATCAAACAGTCCATATCTCCCAGACTTGTCTCTGAACAATGCAATGCAATATGGCACTACTATAAAAAGTGCATGTGTAACATCTGCATTGAGGCACTGTAGTCTTGTGGAGAGGTCAACAAACCATCCTTGGTTGTCACTGTCTACCGTGGCTCTCACACATCCCGATAACACTGGAGATTTAACAACGTTATACTCATATTTTTCAGTGTTGACTCTGAGGGGCACTTCTTCCATTGTCAGGTGTTGGTGCTGATAGACATTTCTTCGTTTTAGCTGTTGTATTGTTGTGCCATACAAGCTGTTGCCCTTCTTCAGTATTTGATCAAGATCATCCTTCCTCACATCATCAAGCTCACTGTGGTATGCCAAAAATGTCAGAGCCATGCATGTACACTGTTTGTTCCTTAACCTTCCATAGCCATGATGACCCTGATGAAATGATGCCTGCACAGATATCTCACTTGGTACACATGGTTCTTGCATGCCATGGTTTTCAGATATGCCCATCACACTGTCACTGTGCTCTTGAACTTGACACTTAGATGAACATGGGAATGACACCACAGGTTCACTATGTACCTCCTGGGCACATTCACTTTCACAAACCTCCATTTCCACTATGCTGCTGTGGGACTCCTGATCCCGTAAACATGGGTCTGAAAGGTCCAGTTTAGTCCAGCGTATCTTTGCAGCTTTAGATCTCTTTCCTTTAGATGGCATGATGATATTCACAGAGCTCCAATTTTACCACATGACAGGAGGCTTCATATTTGCATAACTC